GTACATCGCTGCTGGAGAAGGCCATGCTACTGTTCCATCCACAAAAAAAGTTTTTTGGAAGGGATTTCAACCTTCAGTGAAAGATTGCTTCAAATCTTCCCTATTTGTTCTTTCAGCCTTGCAGAACGATGGCGAAGCGCGCCTTCAGAAAAAGGTCGCTACGGAGACCACATCCCACCCGTAGGGAGTGACATGTGGAGATACTGATATGGACTGACCCAGGGGGTAGTACTACACATGGAATGGGTCTTTGAGGCAGGGCCTACCTTAGAGTAGGGATGGAACAACTGTCAGAAGAGATTGACAGAGCGGTCTGTCAAGGGAAGACACGGGTTTACCAACAGGGAAACCTACCGTGGAAGAATAGACATATGGGATTGCCCGCAGGGAATCAAGACATATGGACACCTAGCCCAGTACAGGGGCTGACCGGGACTCCGGGCATGCTAACACCAGTACTGGGCCTGGCGTTAGACTGCTCTGCCAAGTCTGACTGCCGGGGGTGCTGGAGGATGCTCGACCAGGGTTCGCCAACCGGGGAACTCTACTGGGAGAAGAAAGGCGCTCGGGGAAATGGTGCAGCAAGCGTGACACCGAGCCAGATCTTCCAGCCAATTACCTGTTACCCAACACATGGGAAGAAACCGGCTCTACACGAAGGTTGAAAACACTTGCGAAGGTGTTAGGTGTTGCCCAGCCCGCAGCTCGACAGATGTCTGCCAGAGAGGCGCGGTGCGCCAGCGCCCAGGAGGAAGCAACACTCCAAGTGGAGTGGGCTCTCACCCCTAGGGGGCACGGCTCGCCTTGGGATTGGAACGCCAAGGCGATAGCATCCACTATCCAGTGGGCCAACCTCTGCATGGAGACAGCCTTCCCTTTCTGCTGGCCTCCAAAGCAGACAAGGAGCTGCTCAGAGCTTCTGAAACTCTGGGTGCGGTCCACGTATATGCGTAACGCTCTTACGGGACACAGCAATGCCAAGGCTGGATCTGCCGAGCTCTAGCCTGAGTGATAGTGTCTACCAGAGAGAGAGCTCTAGCCTGAGTGATAGTGTCTACCACCGCTGGCGGTAAGTCACTTAGGTCTGCCGCGTCCCGTCCAGAAGCCACACATGGAAGTTCCAGAGAACTGGACGTGGGTGCCATATGGTGCCCAGCCCCTGAGAAAGGAGGTCCCTCATCAGGGGGATGTGCCAGGGAGGGGCTGTCACGAGGAGCATGAGTTTCGAAAACCAGGTCCGGGTGGGCCAGTAAGGCGCAACCAACAGGACCTGTTCCTCGTCCTCCCTGACCTTGCACAGTGTCTGTGCGAGCAGGCTCACTGGGGGAAATTCATACTTGCGTAGAGCCCGAGGCCAGCTGTGTGCCAGTGCGTCCGTGACCAGGGGGGGGCTGCGCCAGGGAATAGTACAACTGGCAGTGGGAGGACTCGTGGGAAGCAAACAGGACCACCTGAGCTTCCCCGAATCGACTCCAGATCAGCTGAACCATCTGGGGATGGAGTCGCCATTCTCCGGGGAAAGTGAGCTGTCGTGAGAGCACGTCGGCTGCACGATTGAGCTCCCCGGAATGTGGATGGCGCGCAGCGATTTGAGCCGCGTCTGACTCCAGAGGAGGAGATGACGGGCGAGTTGAGACATGCGACGTGATCGTAGACCGCCCTGACGGTTGATGTACGAAACAGCTGCAGTGTTGTCCGTTCGGACCAACACGTGCTTGTCCAGCATCAGCGGCCGGAACTGCTGCAAGACTAGATGCACTGCCAACAACTCCAGACAGTTGATGTGCCAAAGCAGTCGAGGTCCTGTGAATGAATGAAAATGAATGAATACATGATTAAATACATAAATTCTATTATAAATGAAAAATAAATAAATAAAAATAGATTTAAAATAAAATTATAAATAAATACATCATGTTAATAGATGTACTTTTAAAAGTACTTTAAATCATAATTGTGTATGAAATGTGTTCTATAAGTAAACTAGTGCTGCTTTGCCAGAGCGGAGCGAATTCTTCCAGTAATGTGCAGATCTCTGTAGATCTGGCAGCGCTTCATTAGATGGACTGCAGGACTCGATCTCCGAATGCTCTGGGCTCGTTCTCAGTCGAAACATTTCCACAGCGTGAATCCCTGGCATAATCTCCTCTAAACGCATTTATTAGGAGCTCTACTGGGTTCTTCAGAAGCTCCTGATCCCGAGAGCGGATCACAGAAACAACAACAACAACACGGATTCATCCCGAAGCCAAACACCAGAAACATCACAGGTGCTGGCAGATACGCAAACATTAACTAAATACACATTACTTACTGCTTTATTTCTTGTTCTTATGGATAATCTTATGGATATGGATATGGATAAACAAAACTGACCTACTGCTGTGGTCCTTAGAAAACATAAACAAACAAACAAACAAATAAATCAATACTACTATAAATGAATAAAAAATAAATATAACAAACATTAAATTATAAAAAATATTTTTTTATAAATAAATAAAATAAATAAATAAATATATACATATATAATTTCTACTATGAATGAATAAAATATAAATAAAAATTAAATTATAAATGACTTTAATACATAAATAAAAAAAGTCATTACTTAAATGTATAATATTATAAACAAACATCACAAAACTGAGCCCTGCTGTGGTCTTTAGAAAACTAAAATAAATAAATAAAATTAGAACATTAAATAAAATGAATAAATAATCTCTATTATAAATGAATGTATAAAAATACAAATAAACAAATAAAAATTCATTATAAATAAATTACTTTAATACATAAAAAAATAAATTACTTAAATGTATAATATTATGAACAAATGTCACAAAACAGACATGAAATTGTATTTAAAATAGACTTATAAATTAAATTATAAACAAACAACATTTAATTATATAACAAAATTAATGAATTAATAAAAATATAAATAAAATAAAAAATACATTATAAATAAAATATTGTATCTAAATGAATAAATAAATGAAATACATTATATCATAAAATAAATATAAAATAAACATTAAATCATAAATAAAAAATATATATATATTTTGAAAGAAAGAAAGAAAGAAAGAAGTGATTATGAATGAATTATTAAATGAGATGCACTCATATAGACTGTCGAACATGACATAAATTTACTTAATTCCTGTTCTTATTAACAAGATCATCTTTCAGCAAAATGTAATATCTTGATTCTGAACACCAGACTTTCAGCTCATCGGCTGACGTCACAAAACCCACCTAGTCCTGTGGTCTTAATGGCCAAATTAACAAGATAAGACAAAATAAATATCTGATATATCAGCCAGCCCTAAATCAGACAAACAATGCAAAAATTCATATGCAAACCAATATACTGTGCATCCCCCGTAAAATAAATAAAATACTAAAAAAAGACATATATCAAGCACATCATCTTGCTATAGTTCTGCAACACAACAAAACCACACAAATCGAGCTCAGTGCGGCTCTCAGAGAAGTTGAGATGTATTAATATAAGAGACTTTCATCAGAGCTCTTTAACAGTCGCCTTGCTCTTCCGGCTCAGATTATCAGAGATCTTCTGCTAACGACGCAGGAGTCAGTGTTTAATGCAGAGAGATGCTAATCAATGCAACTAACTGCAAGCAGGTCAGTTTTCTGATATTCTCAGATCATACAACATATCATGAGTCATGACGATTCATTAGCAGCTTGTTCTTTTAATGCTGTAAGCATTTGTGGGTAATAGATTATGACTCAGTCATAAAATAAATAAATAAAGGAATGAATGAATAAATAAATAAATTCACTTTTGAACAAATGAACAAAAATAAACAAATAAATATAAATATTTATTATTATTAATAAATAACCAATACATAAATGAATAAACAAATAAACAATTTTAAATACATACAAATAAAATAAATAAACTGGATTTAATTTTAAATAAGATATATTATAAAACTATATTGTGAATACATTTTAAAAAATAATTTAGGAATATGTTTTATAAATGATTGAAAATAAACAAATAAATATAAAAATGAATGTTTGGTCCAGTTTTTATAATAAATAAATAAATAATGAATCGATAAATAAATGAATAAACAAATAAATGTAAAACAATTTTAAATAAATAAAAATACAATAAATAAACTGGATTTAATTATATAAATATAAATAAAATAAAATTTTGAATAAATATAAAAAATAATTATTTAATAGTTTTTATATATGAACGAAAATAAACAAATCAATATAAAATGTAATTTGAATTGTAAGTAAATAAGTGATATTATAATGAATTAATGACTAAATATAAAACAATTTTAAACAAATAAATAATTAAAACAATTAAATTTGGAAAAAAATTAATTATTAAAAAAACTCTTATGAATAAATAAAAAGTTAACACTATTATAAAAAAATGAATGTATTGTGAATGAATAAAAAATAATAATAAAATTGTAATTATAAATACATAAATTACATTATATTATAATAAATGACTAATGCTTTAGAACATTCGGCTCTGGAGAGTTTCTGAAACCAGAGTAAGAAGTGATCATTAACCTGAATATAATTTCACAAGTAAAAGATTTCTTCTCACTGTGGTTTCTGCAGGTTTAACAATCATTGTTTGTCCTGATGACTGAGGATCGATCTGATGATCTGAGATGAGCGGGAGTGTGTGTGTGTGTGTGTGTGTGTGTATGTGTTTGTGTATAGTGTGTGTGTGTGTGAGTGTGTGAGTGTGTGTGTGTGTGAGTGTGTATAGTGTGTGTGTGTGTAGTGTGTATAGTGTGTGTGTGTGTGTGTGTGTGTGTGTATAGTGTGTGTGTGTGTAGTGTGTATAGTGTGTGTGTGTGTGTGTGTGTGTGTGTATAGTGTGTGTGTGTGTAGTGTGTATAGTGTGTGTGTGTGTGTGTGTGTGTGTGTGTGTGTGTGTATAGTGTGTGAGTGCGTGTGTGTGTGTGTGTGTGTGTGAGACTCACCAGTGGTGGAGGAGATGTTGACGTCGATGCTGATCTCGGGGATGGCTCCTCCTCTGAGCGCTGCTACACAGGTGTAGGTTCCGAAGTCGGTGAACTTGAGGTCGATGATGTCCAGGTTGGTGTTTCCGGGCGAGATGTCGGGGTCGGTCTGCGTGATGACCATGCGCTCGGAGCTGCGTAACGCCCGGCCGTTCTTCAGCCAGCTGAACTGCAGCTCCTCGGGCGGCGTGGCCTCCACCTGACACGAGATCTTCACCTCGCGGCCGATCTGGATGTTGTCGTCGTTGTGGTAAGGGTCCGGAGTGATCCAGAAGCGGCCCTTCTTCAGCGCTGAGCAAACACAGAAACTCAAACATAAAACACTGCACAGGACTGACTCACCAGCTCTTAAAAATAAAGCTTCCAAAGCTGCATCTGAGGATCCTCAAATACAAACTGTGTGTGTTTTGCTTCAGGAGAGCAACCATACATTTGCGTTGTGTTCTTTTAGATTCATTTATTCAATTATAATCATTTATTATTTAAGCATTTTATTATTCCATTTAATTATTATATTATCATTATAGTCATATACTAATTTCATTGATTCATTAATTGATTAGCCATTTATATTATATTATTGTTTTTTATAATATTTTTGCACTGTTGTTTAGTCTTATGGCTATGTGTTTCAAGGGCTGTTTGTCTTCATGAATGAGAGATACGAGGGAATGTTTATGGAAACTCAAGGTTTATGGGATGTTGTTTTGAAGCAGTTTGGTATAACAATACTTGTTGAATTTGTGCTGGTCAGATGAAGCTTTGAAACATACGCAACTAAAACTATTCAATAAACTCCTTTTATCATCACTTCGTCTCCTGCTTCTGCTCTTCACTGGCTTTTTCCTCAGTCAACTTATTGGTTGATAGAAGACTGTTGATACAGTAACACAGTGATGCCATAGAAGAATCAGTTTTGGTCCCCCAAAGAACCCTTCAGTGAACAGTTCTTTAAAGAACCATTTTTTCTTAGTGTGAATAACATTTTAATAATCCAAGAACCCTTTTCCACTGTAAAGAAGCTTTTGTGGAATGAAAAGGTTCTATGGATGGTAAAGGTTCTTTGTGGAACCATTGATGCCAGTAAAGAACCTTTATTTTTAAGAGTGTAGCTCTTCAAGATTCTCAAATTGACAAAAAACTGACGGCAGAGGAATAAAACTACACTGGAACTATTACGAATCATTTTAGTAATTATATATATTTTATAAACATAATAATATTATTAATAATAATTATTATTATAAATAACAAAATTAATAAAATATAAAAACTTACTTTATTTCTCATTTTTGTTTAATTTAACTTGATGTACAAATGACTACAACTAAAACTGAAATAAAAAGTAATAAATACTATATATAATGTTTAAAAACAATAACTAATAAAA